CTGAAGATGTGCACAGTCTCTGACTGAGTGTGACTTGCTACAATGGAGAGAAACTTACACGTGAGGACAAGTGCAGAAGCTTTTTTAAAACATCGTTGTTCCTAATAGCCGCAAACTGGAAAAAATCCAACAGGATAATGACAAATGAGATGCACTGTATACTTACAAATGACATGTTATTCTCCAGTGAATATTCATGAACTATAGCTACATGCAACAAACTGAATGACTTCTTCAAACATAATGCTGAACCCAAAAAAGCAAGACAAGAAGCATGTATATATAGTCTATGATTCCCCATACTGAAGATCCTGAAAACAGTCCTCAAACCTAAATGACACTATTTGGAGATGCATCTCTGGGTAGTATAACTATAAAGCAGAGCAGGAAAATGATTACTGTAAAATGTAGGGCGGTGGTTAACTCTAATAGGGGAAGAAAGTGGTTATGATGAGGAAGAAACACACTGCGAGGGGAGCCGTAAACATATTGGTGACGTCTCTTTGTATTAAGCTGTGTAGTGGTTTCATAGATGTTTATATTATTTTCTATACCTTTATTCATTACACTCTCTTTCTTAGATGTAAAACATTTTAAGTATTTTTAGAAACGATTTTTTTTTGAAGAAAGGTAAAAGATAAAAAAGAAGAGAATCCATGGAAAATACGCCTGAAAACATTCCACTTCACCTGAAAGAAATGTGCATGTTTTCGTGTGGTTCTTTCACATTCTCTTTTCTGCTCTAATTTCCAGTCTTTCAGCTAAACTCTTAGTCTAGGTATTTTTCTCCTGAAATCCAAGATTCTGGAAAAGAAGGGGAGTATAATGAAAAAGCTCCACAAATCTTACTTGTTGGCTCCAGGGCAGGCTACGTGGGGAATGCGGTGTTTAGATTTGCCACAGACTAATTCCCTCAAGGCTGCTAAGTGGTGGCTGAGATTGGCTGGGGAGGAGGGCAGGTGGGTAAGAGGGAGGCCAGCTAGCACACAGACTTTGCCATTTTCAAGGGCTTCCCACATGGGCTCCTTTAAGCCTCACCCCGGCCCTGTGAGATCTTCTGTTTTACTTGTAAAACTATTAAGCTGCCAAGAAGTAAAGGGACTTGTCCAAAGTCTCAAGTTTGGGAAAGAACAGGGCTAGGATTGGAAACTAGGTTTTCTCCATCCTAATGCCTTTTAAGAGAGTTCTGCCGCAAATATAGTGACATCAACATACCTATGCGGGAGACTCGGTGGTACTGAGCCAATTTGACGCAGACATCTCAAACTCGGGCTGTAGAGACACGGGCTGAGGGCCAGCAGGCTCTGAGGGGCTGTGCAGAGGACAGACAGGTTTAAGCTAATCACAGTACATCTGCGGACTTTTGTCTTCTGTAAAGCTTGTACTCATGGCGCAGTCAGAAGACAAAATTAGTATTGCCTGTGGTGGTTTGTGCTCCCTGGCAAAGTCTTCTGATTATCTTCTACGTGGTTGATATTCCATCCTTCTGCTAAATACTTCTACCCTCCCAGCCAAACCCCATTTCTTTATAAACTCAGGGTAATGAATTACTTAGTAAAACATTTCAGATAAACAGACATAATCAGATCTCTGTTTGGACTTCATGCTGGAGAAAGTGTGCAGACCCTGACTGTTTCATATCGCTGCCTTTGATGCCAATAAATCAACCATTTGCGATACTGCTTCTGCCAAGAAATCCCCCAGGCCCTCGTGTGGTTTCAGCAGAGGATATATGAAAAGACTGAACAAATATTAGTGTTTTATCTTCATTCCTGTCCTCAAAGCTTTTGCTAACTTAAGCAAGCTATTTTTCAAGATACCCTCAACCCACTATGGAAGTCTATTGAAACCATTCCTGGTGCTGATTCTTTCAGTTTGGGAGTTAAGGGGTAAACATTTACATCTCTTAAATGCTTTTGTAAAGTAATGGAAAGAAAATAGAAGCTAAAATGAAACTCCAACTAAGGTCCCAGTCATCCTCAAGATGGATACATTTCTCTTACTCTCCACAGTCGGTTCTCTCCCACACAGCACGCAGCCTGAGACTCAGGCCAGTGGGTTAACAATTTTGGTAAATAGTAAAGCTCTGTGAAGATCATTAGACTCTGGGGGACAGAGACAAGGCAAAGATGTCGATGTAAGGAAAAGGCACATGGTGGTGAAGATGTCTGCTTATTATCTACTGAGCTGCACACGATGCTCTGTCTGGGTACAATTCACTCCCTACTGTCATGCGGGTCTGGCTGCCTGGGGGATGTGTCAGAACTGCTTTATGATCCTCTCCTTCTCTCCCCACCCCTCCCTGAGAGTTTCCTCCATAGAACCATTGCACACACGCTCATGATCTGACATAATCTTCCCAATGTCACCATATTTCCATCTGAAGTGAAGTACAAGAAAAGAATAAGTTGGAATCTTAGCATAAATCTTTTGCAGAAGTAGGAAGCCCTACATTTAGAGTTTGTCTTTTAAATTGGAACAGCACATGTATCACCTAATCAATATATAAAAAGAAGGCAGTTAGTTCATTTTTAAGAATCTGGTGGAGTCTAAGGAAAGGCACGGAGAGGATGACTGCCATCTTGAGCTGGAATCCAGTGTGCCTGAAATGCATGACTCTGGGGATCAGAATAACATTCACGTTCCTTTCTTGGTGTTTTGATTGTACATCTACATGCAAGTGAAACTGTATCTGACATGAAAATTTCCAAGGAAATAAAGAGAAGCAAATCAGTATGAATTCTTAGATCAAGATCTGCAGAAGGAATTTAAGTATTTTCAAGTTGGAAGGAAATCTTCTCGAAATTGCTGGGAGACTCGGAACTGATAAACCTCAGTTTCCACATCTGTAAAATGGAGATAACTGTACTTCATTCACTCGGTCGCAGTGAAGGTTTAATGAGATCATATAAAGTAGTTAACAGGGAGTTGCATACTTAGTACTTACATAATAAAAATTACAATTAATGATTATATTCACATTATTTCCCAGAAATATTCATTTGTATATGAAATTTCAGGTTCTCAGAGTGAACAGTAGGAAAACTATTAACGGACTGGAATATTGTGTTCCAACCTGCAAATCGGAGTTTCTTCCATTTTGTTACTTGCTGCTCATGGTCAGCTTGAATTTCTGTATTTCCATATTTCAGAGAAGGACACCAAGGGCAATCTCTCTGGGAGTTCATAAACAAATTAAAAACGGGAACGTTGCCTTACACTTCTTTTGTACAGCAATTGTGCCAAAGACAGTAATCAGACATACATAAAATTGGTTTCAGTTGTTTTAAACTAATATCTCTTTGAACTGTATTTTAATAATTTTGACCATGACAAAATGTTCTTTGAATCTATTCTGACCACTCTGCCCAATTCAGAGAGAGCTCTTATTTTCCCTTTTTTTTTTTGCCCCTTTAAAAAAAAAATGTATTGAAAGTAGAAGTGCAGGGACATGTCATTTATCCAAAAGCATCCCAGGATGTTTCAATCAGCTCTTATCTCAGGAACCTTTTCCAAGTGGATGAAATATAGGTGCCAAGAATTTTTTTTCTCTTTTTCAACAAAAGTGTTATTCAATTAACTATGGAATAGGTTAATGATAATTTATTATAGAAAGACTGTGTCATATCTATGACAGTTTGCTGTTTTCATGGGGTTTGGGTGGTGATTAAGATGATTTAGTAGTCCCTTAAAATAGCAAGTGACACCTATTCTAGGCAGGAAAATAAGCTAGAGTTTGCTGACTCTCCAGCCTGCCTGCATGCTGGAATCACCTGCAGCTTTCAGAAATGATTCGTGTCCTCACCTCACCCCCAAGAGATGCTGCCTTAATTGGTCTGCAGTGGGGCCCGAAAGCTGCTATGATAAAAGGTACTCTGCGTTTTTCAAATCTGAGGCAAGACTGAGAATTACTGTGACATTACAGAGATAGGTGACCGTCAAACAAACAACATTTAACCTCCCCTCAAAGAGCTCCAGATTCTACTAGGAAAATATACTTTTACAACTCCTTGACATGCTTCAAAAAGGTGTTAAATGACATGATCACTGATAAATCCCACATTTCTTTTATCTTCCTTCCTATCATCTCTTACTCTCTAGTAATAAAATGGTTGAAGACCAGAGAAATAAAGAAATCACACCTTGAAATCAAAAGTAGAAAAATCAAGTGCTACGTGATAGCAGGCTTTGTTACAGATACCTTTAATCACATGGAAAAGGAATGTCTTTGTGAGAAACAAATGTACCCACCAAGTGTCCAAGAATTATTACAGATGCTTAGGGAGTGTTGTAATTATGAAATCGTCATTAAGAACCGATAGTGCTGGCTTTATTTGAGGCTGTTGATGCTCATTTGTGTGGTGATAAAACTGAAATCCAGGGCTCCCCCATAGCTTGATGTTATCTCTGCCTTCCCCACTCAGCCACATAGTCTAGCTCGAACCCCGTGTTATCATCCCATGAGGAACCAAGTTGGCCTTGTTAAGAGGCTATGCCAAAAGCTGGAGAAGCCCCAGCAGAGGAAATCTGATTCCAATTTGGGGATGAAAGTATAGTCCCCCCTGCCAGGTTTAAATTGAGAGCATATTACTCATTTTTAGTTAATTTCTCAGCCTGCAGTATAATTCAGCACATCTGTGCTGTTTGTGTTCCCTCAGCTGCTTCCTTAGGGACCCCGACCTTGATGGGATAGTTGTAATTGGGGGGGAAAGTTAATAAATGACAATCATAGTCAAATACCCTATTTGTGTAAGAAAATGCATATATTAAAATTAAAAGGACAAACACAAGAGAAGTGGATTATTACATTTTTCTTGTCACTGACTGAAGTTTTTTTCTTAATGTCAAGGCCTAAAGTGCCAGGGGGGTGAGGAAGTGAAATGCAGTGGTTCTCAAGACACACGTGCAGGGAAGAAACATGATTATAGCAGATCAGTATGGGAGAAGCCATCCGTTCATGGGAAAACCATACCTCCCTACAGATTTTAAATCCACTCCTCCTGAACAGACTTCTTGCAGAGGTATTGGAAACGTTGAAGGAGATTTTGCAGGCTTTCCCTTCCAACCTTTTCAAGTGTCTCTCTTTTTAATATTAATGATTGTTGCCGTCTTCTACAGGATTGTAGCATCCATGATTCAGAAGAATACATAATGATCAAAACTCCTGTGAATTCAGTAATGTTATATATCTTATCATGTTATACATATGTGTTTATAGATGTTTACATGTGTGTGTGTTCATATTTATGTTATTAAGTGCAGTTGCATTTGCAGACATTTGGAAAATATGATACATACAGGTCACCTGAATGTCTCCACGTTTTACAGTCCATGGTCATCCTTTCCTTTGATAGCCCAGAAGAAGTCCCAGGTCCCCACCTTAGGTGTCTGCAGTATGTGCAGCCTCTCCCACTATGTTCCTGGCAATTCCTGGGAAGGATGCTTTTCCTTTTAACTATGTTCGCCTTGCCCCATTCCTACCTTGCCTTCATGGCTGTGGTCCTTCTATCTAAACCCATCACCGCAAGCATGGATGCATGTTCTTCCTCTTCATTTGCTAAAATAGCTCTCATACACGACTCTTGTACATACAACTATCATTCAAGATCTGGGAGTAATAGGAGGGTGCAATTACATCACAGCAAAGGAGGCAATTGAAAACTGAATGGCAGATATGTTTGTTCAGTCACCTTCCAGCATTCCTTGCCAAATGTTATTTTTTCCTCCCTTTCTCTATCTCTTCTTAGCATCTAGCCTGGCTCCATTTCCCTGGGTTCTGTTCTCTTTTAACCAAGAATTTCTCCCATGTCTAATACCCCTCCTTCAGCAACCCTTCTCCCTCCTCTCCTCAGGTACCCCCACCAAAGCAATCAGATTTCCACCTCCCCTGTCTTTGGCATCAGGGGCAAAATGAAAATCTCTGTTATTTCATTACATGGGGAAATTTAAATCCCTTTTCTTTAACTATCCTGGGCTCTGTGATTAATTTAAAAAGCTCCATTAAGTGTCTTTCTTCCTGCTCTCCCAGAGCAATCCACCTAGACATCAGTTAACTCATGACATCTCAGATTTCCTCCCTGCCACAAATAGGACTGAGAATTATTTATTTGGCTACAGAGATGCTTGGGTGCACCCCTTTAAATCGAGTCCCCTGAACTGTGACCCAGTCAATATTCAACAGCCACTGCAGCCTGGAAACAGATGATCTGTACATTCATAAAACTATCTAGTCGGCCAACGTGGCCTTTGAGGCAGTTCCATTTTGGTGAAAGCATTCTTTTCTCTCCATTGTATCATGAGTTCTTCTCCTTCTTCTCCTCATTTGCTTTCTGTAATGAAGCTAAATACTTACAGAGAAAGAAGTAAAAGAAAGCTAGCAGTAAAGAGTTAATTCTCCCAGAGGCATTACCTTTTAATGTGCAACACAGTCTCAAGCCAAGATCGTTCACAGCTAGAGCATCTCTGGCTATGGGATATGAATCGGCCAAAAGCCAGTGGAGAATATGTCTTTCGGGGAAGGAGCCTTCCCAACCCCTGGGAATCAGGCAGCATGACAGGACTTCCTATGCCACCTTCCCAGGCAGTGCCCCTTGCAGAGACTAGCTTACTTAACAGAGAAATTAAAATAGATGAGGTCCAAGTAAAATCAAGCTTTCCTCCTCCAATCCAGAAGACTGGTTCACTTTCTCGTTTATGCTTCTTTCATTGTCCTCCAAGTTGATCATAGCACAGCCCTGAATTCCTAGTCGGTGCTAAATAGATTCTTATTTGAAAAAAAAATCCCAGCACCGAGATTTTACAGGGCATCGACCTATTTCTAAAAGTCGGAAACAGGCTTTTCTCTTCACCTGAAAAGAAGTGAATCTAACTGAAAACTCACCAATCAGGATGTAGACTTGCATTTTGGAATAGCGCCCATTAAACATTCAGTGAGTGGCATTA